CCTGTGCCCTTGGGAACCTGAGAAACCAGGTCATGAGCTTTCTACCCCAGTCCTTCATCAGGGAGGTACATGGGCAGTGTGGGGGCCATGACCCAGAACATTCCTGTGCCTCTCCTCCAGGGTCATGTCTCCTGTTCCTTCACTCTCTAAGCTCCCTTGTGCTTGTATGAAAGCCCACATCATTGTGGTCTCGCATCATTCGAGAGGAATTATCAGAGAAGTCACTCAGATGCTCATGTGTGTAGTGTGAAGGAGACAAGGTGAGACTGAGTGGCCAAGTCCAGCAGTGTTGGACACAGCTGGCAAAATGTGGAACCCGGGCCTTCTGGCCTATCTATGGAAGTGTTTTTTTTTTTTTTTTTTTTTTTAGCTAAAGTGACTCTTCCCTTTGTTTTCTGAGCTGGTTACTGATCCTGGATGGGCATGGGAGAGGGTCTTTTGTGCATGATTCTCCTCACCTCCCTGTGTCTGCTCTCTGCTGTTTTTCTTGGCACTTGAAGCTGTACCTTCTCAGGAGCTGATGTGCATCTTTCTGTACATGACTTTCATATCTACAAGATCTCAAAGATAAGGACATGTGCCTAAGAATAAATTCAGATTTCACCATGTGTGGACACTCAGTTGACACAGTGGAGCCTGACACACCAAGCAAGTCAATCATCTGCTTTTTAAAAGTTGTTAAAGTTTCTTGCTTGATTAGATTTTAAAGTAACATTATTTATTTGTGAGTCTTAGAAAACAGTATTTGCCAAATCTTATAACACGAGTTTAGTTAACATACAAGTCATCTTTCATAAAAAATTTTATTTAATCAGCATTCATTCATTTCAGAAATACATAACACCTGCTACAGCCGGCACTGTATATACTTGTCCTGTCATGAGAGGCTCTTTCTTGCTCCCCTGAGTTTGGCTAACTTTTGTTCATCTCTCAATTCTCAGTTTAACCATTATTGGCTAAGGAAAAAGAAAAAGGTGGAGGAAAAATGTTATGGTGCTCATACTTTACAGGGAGTTCGAAAACTAGATTATTTTACTTTGTGAGGATCACTTCATTTATCAACATAAAATGTACTAAAGTTGGTGACATTACCCTAATTTTACACAAAGAAACCTGAGCCACCAAAGGCTACATCCTGGGTAGTGTGTGAGCTCTAGTCCTCCCACCCTGGCCTTTGTTTTTCCTCTTCTGGTCACCTCCTCTTGGCCTGGCACTCTGGAGCCCAACAGAGCCTGGGTGCTACCTGACCGTAGTCTGCGTGATTGTCACATGATCTTATTTTTAAAAATAGGTAGCATGTGCTCCCAGGTCAGAATCCAGACAGAACAGGTATTGCTGCCTGACTCCTGCCTCTGGCATAGGTGCCCCTTAGTACAGCATGCTGTAGTTTGCTCTGTCCCTGGTGGTGGTGTCCAGGTTGGCTCCAGTCTTCGATAGCCCAACACAGGACTGGAGATCTTGTTTCTTTGTCTTTGGCTACGTACAAGTGCATCCTAGCATAAACAGCTGGAATTGGGCTGCTGGGGCACTGGACATTTATAGTTTACGTTTTGAGAAATGATACCATAGAGACTAACTGATTTATGCTCCTCCCAGCAGTGCATGAGGGTGCCATTTTTGCTCAGACCTAGCTGATACCATGATCTTGACCTACTAGAAGGCTAAAAAAACACCTTGCAACTTAAATTTACCTTTAGCTTGTTGTAGATGAAGTTGGACATGTCTCCACATGTTTAGGAGCCTGTTCTGTGACTCTCCATATTCTCCTTCTGTTTTCCTTTTGGATCATTGATCCTTCTCTTATTGCTGTGTAGGTGCTATTATAGAGAAAGAAAACTAATCCATTGTCTGTGTGATGTGATATATATATATCTCCTCAGTTTTCTGGGGTTTTTTTTAGGAATAGCTTGTAGTATTTTTATGTATAGAAATTTAAGTCTATATGCTGTCAGTATTTTTTATCTGACTCTAGGCTTTGTGTCTTCCTTCCAGAGGCTTTCCTTACTCAGATTGTTCAAAAAAGTATCTTGTTTTCTTCTAGTATTTCTCGGTTTCATTTTTTACATTTTAATATTTGCTCTACATGAGATTTGTTTTAGTGTGTGTTGAAAGAAAGGGATCCAACTTGATTATTTTTAGATGTCTTAATCTTGAATTAAACATTTCAGGCCCAATTTATGGACATTGTGTTCTGTCCCATGGATGTGTCTATTTTTGCACCATCGCCCCCCACTTTGTTGAGAGTTGTGGGTTTATATTAGTGCCATAATATTGGATGGAGTTGGCCCTGCCTCATTGCTCTTTTTATTTCTTTTGTCACAGAGTGTATGTGAGAGAGATAGAGAAAGAAAGAGAGGGAGAGGGAGAAGAGGAGGGAGAGAGAGAAAACACCTGTTGGTGGGGCATTATCATGCTGCGATCCGTTCTCTTTCATTTCTTCGTCCTGTCAGGATTTTCCACACACATGCATGTGTACCTGGCATGTTTTCCAAGCTACCAGGGCTAAGATTCAAACCTTGATCAGCCATGTGAGACCTAACTCCCTTAACCATAGGCCATGGGGCTGTCTCCATTGCTTTTTTTCCCTTCACTTTGTATTTAGTTTTCTACATGAATTTTTATATCCTACTTTCTAAGTACTAATACAACATATATTGAGAAGTATACTGGGATTTTATGTTCACTTAGGGGGAATTAATTTTTATGATTTTTTTACCCCTCAGTGCTGTGGTTACTTGACACAAACATGAAGAGCTGTCCCTCAAAGAGAGTTTTCTGAGTATGCATGTGGGACGAGTCTGCAAGTATGTGCATATGTGAGTTTGTCATGTCCCACATAAAATGGAGAACTTGCCATATGGGGACGTCTTGTATGTCGGGATACTTTTAGCAAGGCTTAAAGAATGGTTCCATGGACATGATGGCAGAGTTGCCGAGTTCAGTGGGAGCCTCTCCTGGTTCCTGGTCCAGCTTCTCTGCTCTGAGCAGCTCACTGGCTATCCCGCTGTGAAGGCTCAGCTCCAGCGTGTGCTCACTTGTGGTGAGCTTCGTGTCTTCTAAGTGAGCTGCGAGTGCCTGTGCCAGGTCCACACTGCTGGCCTTCCCTTTGGTCTTCAGTGAGTGCTGGTAGCTGGTGCTACATGGACATTTCATCTCAGAAATGGCACATACAGCATGGTGGAGTCAAGCAAAAACTTGAATTGTGCTTTTCTGACCCTGTAATAGAACTTTTGAGTCTTAGTTTAATTTTTTTTCTGTAACAGTTTTAAGTCATTTGATTACTCACTGACTTTTTTCCTTTTTTTAGTCTAAATGTTTTTTGAATAATTGAACTTTGAATGAGTGCTGATGAGCACAGCCTCTGGTAGCCACACTGACCTGATAGACTGCACGAGGAAGGTTATTTGATCAGATCCCGGGTTTTGCTCTCTTGGCCCCAGAGGTTCACTTTTCTCTGGATTAGGGTCCCATGGACTCTGGGTCAAGCTCTACGCTAGGACCTGGGTGTGGATCTTCAGCTGGGCGCCTGCCCCCCACTCTCAATGCATGTCTGCAGACTGGGCTTGATTGGAGAGATTTAGCATTGCCTCTGTCCCTGAGAAGACTGATGGTGCCTCACTGACCCCACCCCTCCTTAATAGTCTTTGCCCACCTCTGGTCCCTTGTGGTTACTAATAAGGTGCATTTTAATGGTTGGCCTGGAGCTGGAGCCAATTAACTAGTCCCCTGGGATTCATCTGTAGACTTGACTTTGCAGTACAACCAGCCCCTGTGGCTTCTCCCGCACTCTGCACAGCAGGTCAGGTCCATTTAGTGCTCACAGCAGACGGAGGAGCAAACAGTAGCATGAAATAATCATATCTCATCAGGCTGTTGAAAACATTTTGTAAGTTACTGTGTAAGTTTGCTTCATTACATAATGCTGTGATGGAAAACAAAACCCAAAGCCTAGGGTCCTAACAACACAGATTTAGTAATGGCTCCATCATCCATTATCTGGTTGGAAGGCCATGCATGGGCACCAGGGTTGTCTTCATTTCAGGACCTCCCCTTGTAGAGCCCATCCTCTCACAGCAGAGGAGAGTGTTCTTCAGCAGAATGTGCAACAGTTCAGAATGCTCCTGCTCATACAGGCCTGGGCCTTCCTCTCAGGAGGCGTCAGTAACCAGCTGCCCACTTGGGGACAGGAGCTCCTACCCTGTGGCTCATACCACAGTGAATGAAGGCTTCCTGAGGGGACACACTTTCCCTTTATTCACGAGCTTATTTGGAAGACACTGAGAACAAAGATGTTTAGTGCTATTTTATAGATAATTCAGGAGCAAGCCTCCTGGGACACATGCTATCATTTATTTCCATATTAGCTGAACTAACACCTGTGGTTAAATAGGCAAATTTGCACATCAAGTCCAAACATTTTGTATTAAGAAGAGGCCCACATTGCAGAAAAGTACACAAGTCCAAATTGAGGAGGAAACATTGTGCCCCTTTCAGTCTCAGCTCACTTCCACCTGGAGGACCCAGGAGCCTGACTGCTGGCACCCATCAGGGCTTCACACAGAGCCACACAGCATTCTGTGTCTGGCTATGTTTGCTCAGCTGTACATTCATAAAATGTATCCCTGTGTGGGTATAGTTCATTCTTAATGCTCTCTCTCTGTGTGTGTACGTTTTTGTTAATGGTTAATTGCTTCTCCTTTTAGCCCCAGGGCAATAGTTTGTTATGGTTCAAGTGATAATATGTGTATGTCTAAGTGTGAGTGTCTATGTGTGTGACCATGAGTGTGTGTGTTGTGCATGAGTGTGTGTGTGAAGCTGCACAAGGCCGTGGTCTGTGTTTTGTTTGGTATTCTGTCCCTGTGTTTAAAGTACTCTGGGCAGGTTGTAGGCATACAACATTTGAGAACAGTTTGGTGCAGGTCCCCTGGTGGCCTCCCATTGGATAGGCAGGGCAGGAGTGGAGGGCAGGGATGCAGGTACAGTCTGTGCTGGTTCTGCAGAATTGACCGGTGCTGACCTGAAGGACTGCGTGAGCAACAACAGCCTGAGCAGCAATGCCAGTCTCCCCAGTGTGCAGAGCTGCCGGCGTCTGCGTGAGAGGAGGGTCGCCAGCTGGGCTGTGTCTTTTGAGCGTCTACTGCAAGACCCTGTTGGTGTACGCTACTTCTCTGTGAGTAGGGGAGAGCCTGGGGGTTGGTGGGTGGACCACACTCTGCTGAGGCTGCTTGAGCAGGACCTGTGGCCCACCCCAAAGATAGTCACACACTGCAGTCTCCCTGTAGGCCTTGAGGAGTCCCATCTCAGGTCTCTCCTCCCCTCACCTGCCCAGCTTAGGCTTGCCTTCCTGATCTGCCCTCTATCCCAGTGTCCCTCAGCTGAGACCATCCCTTGGCTCTCTGCCCTGAAACTTCTGCACAACAAGTAACATTGATGCTTCTTGTAAGTGCTTGGGAGCCAGATGGTGTTATCAAGTCCTGCTATTAAAAAGAAAATGGGAATACCAGAACATAGGGCCTTAAAACGTTGGGCAGCTTTAACTCGTGAAGCTCTTTCAAGGCCATGGGGTAAATCATCTAGAGATGCTGGTAGCCCCGTGGTTTCTGTGAAGGTAAAGATAGGAAAAGTGTAGGAATGAAGACCTAATCAGCTCAGTAGAGGAAGGTCACATAGAGTAACTCCTTTTATTGATCCTGTGTCCGTGCTAATTGATGGTGTTTTTCTTAGGATTTTCTAAGGAAGGAATTCAGTGAAGAAAACATTTTATTCTGGCAGGCCTGTGAATATTTTAATCATGTTCCTGCACATGACAAAAAAGAGGTAAGTTTCTTCTTTCCTAGGAAGTAGGAGAGTATTAAAGAGCAGGATGGTTTCATTATGGGTTAGTTTAGCATATGCTAGCATCTAGTACAGTTTGAAAAATTGATGTAAAAATATATTCACATGATTTGAAAAAAGTCATTTCTTTTTCAGAATAAATTTTTAAATATATATGGTATTTAATTTTGCCTAAACATAGTTTGTATAAATGCCTTTAGCCACAAAACTTTCATCAGCAGCTGTGTCGCCACTCAATGTGTTGAAGTTAAGAGGGAGGACTGTGTTTAAAGGGAAACTTAGAAGAAAATCCAAGGCAGAAGAGCATCCTAAGAATATCAGATTTTACAGCGTCTGCTGACATGCCATGTGAGAGATGCAGGATGAGTCTGGGAGGGACCCAACCTGGCCTGCTCTTTTCTAAGGCTGTGAGAGACTCCCATGTCCAGTCCATGAGCAGACAAACACAGCTGCCCTCCCAGCTAAGGCCTCTTCTATTTGCTTGTTATGCTCAGAGTTGTTTGCCCTCCTACAAGAGGCATCTACACATCTATGGATCACCATGCACAAATGCTACACATGTGCAGACCTGAGCCTTGGGAACACAAAAGGTTCCATTTAAGAAATGTATAGAGGAGCCAGTTTGGTGATGTTTCATACTGGCTTATTCTTTTATTTATTTATTTATTGCAGCACGAAATATTTATTGGGGTCTATGAAAGTGTATCTTCAGTATCTTGAGTTGTACCAGGCCTTTGGAATACAGCAATGAAACAAGTAGAAAACACACATGTAGAAGAACCCTGCAGTGTACATTTCTGTTCAGACACTTCTACCTGTCAGCTTTCTTACAGGGCCCGGGAGATTTTCAGTAAATTTCTGTGCAGCAAAGCGACTACCCCCGTCAACATCGATAGCCAGGCCCAGCTGGCAGATGACATTCTCAACGCTCCCCATCCCGACATGTTCAAGGAACAGCAGCTCCAGGTCGCTTTTCTATGCCTATTTCTTCTAGAGAATCCTAGAAAGGGCTTGGGATATAAGATGTACTATTCAGGAGGGCAGTGATCAGATGGGCTCCTGGACTGAGAGGAGCTTTGCTGATTGGCATAGGGGTGGATAGAAGAAATCACTGGGTTCCATCGGAGGGACACAGACAGAACTTGAGGGTTTCAGTGGGGCCATGAAATGAGAAGTCCTGATGTACTATATTCCCTGTCAACAGGTGACCCGCTGTTTACATTGTCACACGTTGTGTATGTACATCTGCATTTGTGCAGAATCTCATATTCATGGGTGATGGTATATATGTGTTCAAGTTTTCTTTTTCTATTTTAGAATGGCACCATGATTTTAAAAAAATGTACTATTTAGAACACACATCCCGTGAGCTTTTTCGGAGATTACTCTGTGGCTAGTCATATGAAAAATGTTTTTTTATTAAAAAAAAAAAAAAAAAAAAAAGGGAGAAAAAAATTTTTAAGGGCGGGTGTCATTAAAAAAATGTACTATTTAGAACACACATCCCGTGAGCTTTTTCGGAGATTACTCTGTGGCTAGTCATATGAAAAATGTTTTTTTATTAAAAAAAAAAAAAAAAAAAGAAGGAAGGAACATATTTTCAAGGCAGGTTTCACTTGTGTTAGGTTCTTGTTGCTTTTGGTTTCATTTAACAAAGTGAAGTTTCTCTGAGATGACCATTATCTATTCTAAGCCTATCTGCGATGCTGGCTTTATTGTTGTCATGAGTTGCTAATTGTAAGAGTGATAAATGAAAGTGTGGTTCATTATGAGAAAGAATAATTAGATATAAAGGAACACTGGAAAATAACTCTAATAACTCTAAGGCAGCAGTTCTCAACCGTTTTGGCATAAGGGACTGATTTCATGAAAGACAACTTTTTTGCAGACCAGGGGAGGGAGGGCTGATGGGGGGCATGGTTTGGGGATGACCCAAATGCACATTCCATTTACTGTGTACTTTATTTCTGTTATTATTCTATTCTTTCTATTATTATTACATCATAACATGTACATATTATATGTAAATAATTGTATAACTCATCATAATACAAAATCACTAGGAGGCCTGTGCCCTGAGCCCTGAGCCTTGCAACTAGACAGTCCCATCTGGGGCTGTCTATGAGATCTAAACTGATCTGCTAGGAGGTGGAGCTCAGGCAATGATGCTGGCGATGGGGAGTAGCTGTAAATACAGTTGAAGCTTCACTCACTCTCCTGTCATTCACCTCTTGTGGTGTGGCCCAGTTCCTAATAGACCAGTGCCAGTCTAGTCCATGGCCTGGGAGTTGGGGATTCCTGCTCTAAGGCACTTTTGGGCCAGTGGGTGGGAGAAACAGGGCCTCAATGACACCCTTTCAGAATAGGGCCAGTTGGTATCTTTAGGTCCCATGCAACCTTGTGCCTTCAGGGTGGACCAGCCTAGTTACTTTTATAATTATACTATGCCACATTTACTCTCCAGATTTTCAACCTGATGAAGTTTGATAGCTACACTCGCTTTCTGAAATCCCAGCTGTACCAAGAATGCATCCTGGCTGAAGTGGAAGGCCGCGCTCTTCCCGACTCACAGCAGGTGCCCAGCAGCCCTGCCTCCAAGCACAGCATCGGCTCAGACCACTCCAACGTGTCCACGCCAAAAAAGGTGCCCCCCACTGAGACTGGCCTCAAGTCACTGCCATGCTGCCTTTTATCAGATGAAGGCTTTTTTTAGAAATGAAAATGAAAGCCCATGTTGGTTCATTCTTTCATCAGCAGTGAATGAAAGACTTTATTAAGACACCACCTCCTATGCTGTATCTTATGCTGATATTCTCAGTGGTGGAAGGTTCTGGCTTTTGTTTCTGGAGTGCCTGTCAGGGTTACACCTTGGACTGTTAGGAGGTCTATATCATTCCAGAGAGTACTTAACAATTATACAGTGTTGAGTCTCCTCTTACATATAATAGAGCATTACAATGCATTGTTCTAACAAAGGTTTCCATTTGATGACAGTTGAGTGGAAAATCAAAATCAGGAAGATCCCTGAATGAAGAACTGGGGGATGAAGACAGTGAGAAGAAACGAAAAGGAACATTTTTCTCTTGGTCAAGGAACAGGAGCACTGGGAGGTCCCAGAAGAAGAAGGAACACGGTGACCATTCAAATGGTTTGTGGTGTTAGCCTGTGGTATTGAGATGAGTCAGCGATGTCCCTGTCACAGGCTCCTGCCCTTGAGAGGGGTATCCTCACGGTATTTCGTGAGAAGCCTTGGGGTCTGGTGGGGAGAGGTTTGTGGAAGTGTCTCTGAATGAATAAGGAAATGCCACCATTTGTCTGGGAGCCTAGTCCTTTAAGGCTGGTCAGTAGTATGAAAGGGGACGGCTTCAGAAGAAAGGGGCTCTGCATGCCAGTCCATTCCAACTTTGGGCACTCCCGCAGTGGTGGGTCCAATATCTGGGTTCCTCTTCTACTTTCCTCTTGCTATAAAAGTAATAGGTGCTCTTGGCAGAAAATTCAGAAAATACAATTATGCAAAAAAGAGGAAATTACAAATTACCTGTCATTTGTCCACCCAGATAGCATCATGTTTCTCTGCTTAAGCTTTTTTCTAGGTATGTGTAGGTGTACTTGTACCTTTAATGTTTTTTTTTTCTTTTTAATATAATACCATAGTTTGGGTATCAAGCATTTTCCAAATTGTGATTTTTCAGTATCATAAATCTTTTTTCTTTATTTTAAATCTTAAATGTTGCCCATTCTCAATACTCTTTTTCTTTTCTTGCCTGTGACTGAGATTCCCTATAACAAAAGATAGTGTGAGACAAAGGCTTGTTTGAGGAAGGCACTGGAGGAAGGGCCTCGGGACCCTTGGTCAGCTGCTGGCTCAGCTTTTGACTCCCATGGGGTGAAGGAGAGAGGCCGCCCTGTGCCTGGGGTTGAGGGAGAGAAAGCCCGTATATGTGCGAGGTACTGAGGAGCATGGGAGAGAAAGGGAAGGATTCTCTCCTCTTGAGATTTTGAAAACAGGGTAATATTTTAGGAGCGAGCATCCTGGTTGAAAGCAAGCGGCCAGTGCTAAGTCTGTGGTCTCTAAGTTTAAATCGGACAGTGACCATTACTGAATGAGCACACACCAGGGTGCCTCTGAGGGAGGCATGTGAAGAGGCTTTCAGGCACTGCTGCAGCTTCTTTGGACATACCTGGGCTGTGCCAAGCAATTGGTACACGCTGCTTCTCCTTCCCTTAGAGCAGCCTAATGGATATTATCATGCTCGTTTTACAGAGGAAGGTGTTAGGAAGGACGTGTGCCTGCTGTAGGTGGCTCCAAGCTCCTGATCATGCTGTGAGGTGCTCTGCATGAAGCAAAGGCAGCTGGGAGTTGTGGAGTTCACCTTAATGAGGGGCTGCTTGGGAGACAGGTGCTGTTTCTGTTGAGTTGTCAGAAAAGTCATGATGCATTTTTGCATAGAAAAACAGAAAAATACATCATGACTTTTCCCACAGCTCACTAGATAGGTCCAGGCCTCCCACACTGGAGAGCACATTAACCCCAGTTTATCCACGGATCTTTAGAGAGCCATCTAGAAAGGGCGTTTAAAAGCCTGATTGCAGGATACCCCCTAGAATTCAGAAATTCTGATATGGCCTAGGATGGGGCCTGGGAATTTATTCCCTGGAGGCAGGTGGGTGGTTTGGAAGGTCAGTGGGACCTGGGAACTGCTGCCTTATTGCCCCTCCCCTCAACCCTGACAGCCCTCAGTGCCTGCGCATAGCACCGTAGCTGAGAGTAAAAGGTCCTTTCTTTGCTAGAGTTTTTTTGATTGTTAGATTAGCCTAATTAGCAATGTTGACAGCCGATTATAGCTGATTATTGGTTCACCCGAGGACTTCAATGGAAAACTGTGAAGTGAGTCACCTACAGTGATGCAACAACAGGGGACCAAGTGGTGGCATGGTGGTTAAGGTGTTTGGATCCCACATGGCCAGTTGGGTGGCTCTAGGTCCAGCCCAAAATTTTAAAAGGAGAACTAGAGGAGAAAGGGACTACAGCATGGCCGTTCCCCCAGAGGATGCTTTCTCACTTTTCCTCTCTCTCTGGTGGTTGCTGTCCACAGGGGGTGGTTTATATTTAGGTCCAGAAACTGTGTGCTGTGTCATCAAAAGCATTCTCTTTTCATGCTGAGTTCTTGCTGTGAGCCAAGCACAAGTTTGGGGGCCTGGGTGTGTAGTGGACAGATAGAGAATGGGGTCTTTGGTCAGCAGTGGGTAGAGCTATGTTATCCTCTAAGTTTTGCTTCTGCTCTTAAGGGTATGTATTCAACTCCACCTCCATGAGCTGTGGTGCTACCTGGGAAGGGTTTTTAATGTTCTTCCTCTGTCCTTCATATCTGTCTGTTTAGCCTAAAAGGGGTAGGGGCTGGGTAACAGGATTTCTGTATTAGGTGAAGAAAAGTGAAGTTGTTACTTTGGATTCATCTAAATTACTGTGTTTCCCCTGTCAAGACCCTCTCCACGCCAATGGAGGCCTATACCGCCGCGAGTCCCAGGGCTCGGTGTCCTCTGCAGGGAGCCTGGATTTGGTGAGTTACCTCCTCCCTTTGTCTCAAAGGCCACAGGACTGTACCAAGCAGATAATTTAGGAAACCTGGCTCTCATGAAATACCCATATTTACAAAGCCCAACATTCATTTTGTAAACCTGGGGGACGAGTCTTTGGCACTGGCTCCAGAGCACAGCAACAAAGTGAAGGGCTATTCTGGAGTCCAATCAGGAGGCCCCCCCAAACCTCGTGGTCCACCAGTCTTGGGTTCCTGAGACAGCCTGAGGATCAATTTGATGTATGGAGGAAGGATACTAAAAATGTCTCTGCATTTATTTTTTAAATCCTTGTATTTTAACTTGGGTGACATTTTATGAACTCTAAAAGCAAACAAAATGCTTTGAAACCATGTGCTTTGTTTTTGTCTCACCATTTGAACTTCCCATTAACTCTAGCTTTCCAATGTTTGTGCTTCTGCTGGTGGCCTTCTGAGGAGGGTGTACTCTTCTCCCCAGCCTCTAACCCCAGCCTGGGAGCCAAGCACAAGCCCTGCCCTGGCCTCTCTCCACACTCTGTCCTCTCATACCCTGTGAATCACTTGTCTGAATCCCAGTTTCCAGTTAAGTGAAGGAGATAGGCAGGCATTGCGTAGGACCTGCTCGTTTTGTTTTGTTTTGTTTCCTTTTTTTGAGAGGTTTTTGCTATAGGGCACATGTACTCGCCATAAAGAGAGAAACAGAAAGTGAGAAATCACCCCTCTGGGGTGATGGCCATGCTACAATCCATTCTCCTCCATTTTCCTCTTGGGATCTTGGGCACACACGCACACGTGCCTGGCATGAGTTTAAGCTCCCGGGTCCGGGACTCAAACTGTGGTCAACTACATGAGAGTCTAGCAACTTGGGTGACATTTTATGAACTCTAAAAGCAAACAAAATGCTTTGAAACCATGTGCTTTGTTTTTGTCTCACCATTTGAACTTCCCATTAACTCTAGCTTTCCAATGTTTGTGCTTCTGCTGGTGGCCTTCTGAGGAGGGTGTACTCTTCTCCCCAGCCTCTAACCCCAGCCTGGGAGCCAAGCACAAGCCCTGCCCTGGCCTCTCTCCACACTCTGTCCTCTCATACCCTGTGAATCACTTGTCTGAATCCCAGTTTCCAGTTAAGTGAAGGAGATAGGCAGGCATTGCGTAGGACCTGCTCGTTTTGTTTTGTTTTGTTTCCTTTTTTTGAGAGGTTTTTGCTATAGGGCACATGTACTCGCCATAAAGAGAGAAACAGAAAGTGAGAAATCACCCCTCTGGGGTGATGGCCATGCTACAATCCATTCTCCTCCATTTTCCTCTTGGGATCTTGGGCACACACGCACACGTGCCTGGCATGAGTTTAAGCTCCCGGGTCCGGGACTCAAACTGTGGTCAACTACATGAGAGTCTAGCAACATAGCCATTATGCCAGCTGCTGATCCTGGACCTGCTAGTTTGTTAGCTATTCTTCTATATGAATTTTGGTAAACCTTATTGGTTGCTAAATCCTAGTCATTCAAAATCATCAAACAGCAGTTAATGGAGAATATTATTTCTCCTTTATATGTTCTATCAAATAACAGATAAAACTGTCAGGATTTACCATGTATCAGTTAGCTATTGCTGTCTAATAAACCCCCCAAAACTCAATGGCTTGAAATAAGAAATACTTATTATATTGGTATCTATGGGTCAGTTGGTAGCTCAGCCCATCTGGTCTGGCCTTGCCTCTGTGCCTCTCTGGTTACCTGACACGTCAGTCAATGTCTGGCAGGTCCCAGATGACATGTCGCTCACATGTCTGGTCTATTGTCCAGCTAGCTATTGGCTGGACCATAAGGCTGCCTGGACCATGTGTCTTTCATCATCCAATCAGGCCAGCCCAGGCTTGTATGTGTCGTGGTCTCAGGGACCAAGAAAGTGAGCAGAACATGAAGGCCACTTAAGGTTGAGGTTGGAACAGCATGCTGTCACTTCTGCCTTATTCTGTTAACCCAGGCCCAAAGGCTGTGGGGATAGATTCTACCTCTTCATGAGAGGAGCCACAGAGCTGCATAGCCAGTGGCAGTGACACAGAGAAAGAAATTTGGGCCATTTTTGAAGTTAGTCTAGTTTTTTGAGATAATGTGTAGGTGAAAGAAAATTTCAGACTATCAGGAGAGATAGTGAAAATGAAATGACAAGGCAAATTTTACATAAGAAACATATTTATGGAAAACTGCTTATAGAGAGGTTGTGATGTTATAACTCAAAGACTTAGGAGGACAACATGCCCCATGTTCAGATGGCTCTTCCTCATGGAGTGACTTCGCTCCACAGAATGGCTCTGTCTGCTTCTGAGTTAGAGGCCAAATTGTGACTCCTGACCATGGTAGTGTAAAGAGCTCATCCTATTCTGAGCAGGGCATAAGCAATGTGCTTAGATTAAGAGATTATAAGTACGCTGTCCACAGTTAAGAGAAGATTATTGATCTCCCCAATGATAACTTAGAAAACCTGTCAACTTACTTAGCTTTTTGTGCAAAATATCCTGTATAGATTGATCCTAAGGTTTTTGCATTTATAAAGTTGCATGTAGGACAGTGAGGCGGGTTGTTGGGCTTCCTGAAGTATGTGCAAGCCAGGGCTAGCTGGTCTTCTCCAGGAGGTGCCCACACGTCCCACGTAACACCAGCATTCATGGGCCTGCTTGTTTCCCTGCTCCCCAGGCGGAGGCCTGCCGGACCTCAGCACCCGAGAGGGACAAGGCTGCTAAGCACTGCTGCATCCATCTCCCAGATGGGACATCCTGCATCGTGGCCGTCAAGTCCGGGCTATCCATCAAAGAGATCCTGGCTGGACTCTGTGAGCGACATGGCATCAACGGGGCTGCCGTGGATCTCTTTCTGGTTGGCGGGGACAAGGTACTGGGCTCCCTGACCCTGAACTTTTCTCTGCAGGAGACCTAACTGATGTTCTAGTCAGGTTAAGCAGTAGCCTACCCGGTATGTCTCCCTGGGCTTTGTTAGACTTCTCACGTGTATCTCTGTGCTCCTCATTTAAACAGTGTGTTTGATGGAGGCTGGATTATCTGATTAAGTTATGCTGCTAGGAACAGTTTTCATGCTAATATTAGGTTGGTGTTTAAAGAGCGATAGCTTTCTCTTTGGATGGGCTATTTTTGAAACTGCTCTTTTGTTCAGCACAGCTGTGTGCCCCATTGCACATTGTTCTGCACTTCAGGGGGTGCCTGTTCGTTCCCACTTTAATTCTGGTCTCTTTGTTCCAAAGCCTCTAGTGCTGCATCAAGATAGTAGCATCTTGGAGTCAAGGGACCTGCGCCTAGAAAAGCGTACTTTGTTCCGGTAAGAGAAAAACGCAGTTGCCTTTTGTGTGAGGCTTCCAGAGCCTTCTGCTCTGTTTCTTAGGGCTTTTCTCTATGTTGCCAGCCACCCTGCTTGTCATTCTTAATGTGATTGTTCCATGGTGGGTTATAAAGGATGCCAAATGTCAGTACCCCTGTCGGGACTTGGCCATGGGGTGGGCGGTGGGGCAGACATGAGGCAGCCTCCACAAGCAAAAGAGCAAGAGGGGCATGCTTCCTTCTTGCCCCACAAAGGCCATGGTGGAGAAGGAGGCAAAGGTTTCCAGCGGGTGGTCAGATTCACTACAGGCCCTACCCATTGTGAAAAATGAGGTCTGTGTCCCTTGCCCAGCCTCATGGTTAATGTCAGAAGAGTCCTTCCAGACTTTCTTCTCATGTGGAGGAAGAGGCTGGGGCCCCAGGGGTGGCTCTACCAAGGTGCTGGTGCTGCTCTTGGTGTTGTGCTATGGTGCTGCACAGCCGATGCTATGGTGCTGATCTTGTGCTGATCACCTACTGAACTGTGTTTGGTGAAGATTTGTATGTCCCACACCCCCACCTCCAGGCTGGATCTCGTCCCGATCAACCGGTCAGTGGGACTGAAGGCCAAGCCCACCAAGCCTGTGACGGAGGTGCTACGGCCTGTGGTGGCCAAGTACGGCCTAGACCTGAATGGCCTGCTGGTGAGGCTGGTAAGTATCGACCGTGGGTCGGGAAGATGCTCGGTTTGCTTGTTTGGCCCCTCTGCGTTCTCTACAGTAGGGACACATCAGGAAGCCAGGTCTCACCCTGTGTCTGCTGTCCTCTCTGGACCAGAGGCTGTTGCCTTGGCTGTCCCATCTCCTTCTGTTGAGTGGAAATGATCATCATTTATTTGTACCTTGATTATTCCAAAAATGGTATTCATGATTTGGTTTTGTTCCAGGGAAACCAAAATGACCAACAACCCTTGAAATAGTCCCACCATTTGCAAATTTGATCAAATAAGGGAGTGCTGGTAGACCAGACTCTTACTATAGTCATGTTCCATGTGGGGCATTGTCACATGTAAATCTTCGTATTCTGGGGCCACCAGGTGGTGTGGTGGTTAAGGCTGCTGGATTCCACATGACCAAGTGTGCAGTTTGAATCCTGGACCTGGAGACTTGAAGAGCATGTTGAGTGTGTGTGTGTGTGTGCATGCATGTACACACGATCCTAAGAGGAGAATGGAGGGGAGGGGATTGCAGTGTGGCCATCCCCCACAGGGTGATTTCTCATGTTTCCTCTCTCTCTTGTTCTCTCTGGTGAATGCCTAAGCCCTATAGCACCGAAAAACAACACCACCACCACCACCACCACCAAAACCTAATTCTCATGTACACTTGACCGAATTTTTTTAAGCGATATTTTGCTATGGGCGCATGTGCTCACCAGAGAGACAGATACCCAAAGTGAGAAATCACACCCCCAGGGGGATAGCCATGCTGTAATCCCTTCTCGTTCATTCTTCCCTCAGGATTTTGGCCATGCACACACATGTTCCTGGTGTGAGTTTCAAGCTTCCAGGTCCAGGACTCAGATCATGGTTAGCCACATAGGAGTCTAGGGCCTTAACCACTATGCCACCTGGCCTATACATGTTATAGATTTGAAAACAGACCTGGCTTCCACAGCTACTGGTCTGCAGCTGTTCTTACAGTAGCACTTGTGGCATTCCTCTGTGGGAAAGAAACTGTTAACGGTTAAATACCTCTTTCTTAGTAAAATAGAAAGTAGTCATGTGTGTTTCAGACAAAAAACAAAAACAAAACCAAAAACTTGACCTGGCTTTGGCGCTTACAAGCCATTTCATTATTATATTAATGAAGTAGAGGGGACACACGGGATGGGTCAAAGGAAAGCCTGTGCCTGGATCAGGAGCGCAGTCTCGCTTCCCTGGCCATCCCCAGAGGGCACGTACGGGTCAGCGAACTGTGCGCTCACTTACCATGTCTGCTCCCTGTTTATTTGGAAGCAGGGTAAATTGAGAAGTCACATTTGCCTGGTGTTCTCTGTTTTGTTTTGTTTTTGTTTTGTTGTTTGTTTGTTTGTTTTTAAATCAAGTTTATCAAAGCTATCATTTCAAGGGTTTTAGGATGTTAATTTTCTCTGAAGCTTGTCTCAAAATTGTTCAAGATCTTTGAACAAAAGAAGTCTATTAATTATTGGTAGACATCAGCTTCTTGGGTAACCTGAAGCCTTCTCCCTCCCCTACAACCATGGCATCCTTCCTGGAGTCTCAGATCTGCCAGACGGAGACAGCCCTGGCCTGGTTTCCAGATGTGTCCTCTCTTCTTACTCTATGGAGATCCTAAGCAGGATCCCCCAGTGCCTCGGTTTACTATCTGTAAAATGGGTTAGTCGGGGTAGCAGGCTCCTGGGGTTCTGGGGACTGCCAGAATGGAAGAATCAGTGGTACTCAGGTCTGGCTGCCAGTGAGCTGTGGAGGTGCCCCACAGAGCAGAAGTTTCTTTGCTTAGGGACTCCAGGCAGAGTAGGATTAGGAACGAAGAGGTGTGGGTAATTATGGAATGGGTGGTGTGGGATGTGACTTCTCCTTGGATACCCCCTCTGACTCATGCCAGTGAACTCTCTAAGCCACGCTCTTTGGCCCCAGCCCATGTACATCCAAGAGTGTGGATGAGGTAGGAACCTGCTAGAGGCTTCTTCATTTCCATTTCTTGACTCTGCAGGCACCAGTGTGCCTGCTGCTGGCTGCAACCTGACCTGGCCCCATGAGGAGCTCATGGTCACACTCCACCATGGCACCAGCTCACTTTTGGTATTCTCTTGACTGACAGGGACTTTACAGTGTCAAACTACAAATTTAAATTGATTTTAAACAGTGATTTATAGTACAGGAATAGCAAAATTCTCTAACAAAGAGAAGAGAACTGGGACCAGCAGTTAGCGTAATGAGTATGTCGCTGGACTCCCATGTAGTTGACTGTGGTTCGAGTCCCAGACCCGGTGGCTTAAACTCACGCCGGGCACGTGTGTGTATGTGCCCAAGATCCCGAGAGGAGACTGGAGGAGAAGGGATTGTGGCGTGGCCATCCCCCCTGAGGGGTGATTTCTCGCTTTCTATCTCTCTGTCTCTCTCTGTCTTTCTGGCAAGTGCACGCGCCCTGTAGGAAAAACTTCTCCAAAGGAAAAAAAAAAAAAAGAAGAAGAGAACCCTTACCCATAGATAAGAGCTCTAGCTTGCACAGCCAGTGGGTGGCATAGTGGTTAAAGCACTGGACTCCCTCATGACCAACTGCTGTTGAGTCCTGGACCCACTGGCTTGAAACACTTCAGGCACGTGTGTGTGCATGCCCAAAATCCTAAGAGGAGAATGGAGGGGAAGGGATTGTGATGTGGCCATCCACCCTGGGGGTGGTTTCTCACTTTCTTTCTCTGTCTCTCCAGTCAGCACATGTGCCCTATAGCAAAAATCTCTCTTAAAAAAGAAGGAGAGAGAGCACCAGCTCTGTAGCTAGAGCTACAGATACTTCATTTGGGTCTTAGACTTGTTCCTAAAATTGTCTCTTTGCTTCCTTATTTACAAATGAGAACATTTTTGCTTTCACTATTTGCCTCATAAAAACTTTTGAAGGTGAGAGAATTGACTTTTTAGGTAAGCCATCACCCAAGTTGTGAGCAATGTTGAGACTTTCATGCAAACATAATGTAGTTTTTAATTGTCGGAGGGCATGTGTGATTGTCAGAAAGAGAGAGAAGGGGCTTGGGCATGCTGTAATACATTTCCTCCTTTTCTCCATTCCTCAGATTTGGGGCGCACATGTCTGGCATGTTTTTCAAGCTGTCAGGACTGGGATTTGAGCTGTACTTGACCATATGGGATCTGGCTTTTGATGTACAGTGCTTAACCTTTGTGCTACGGAGCCAACCCTTAAATTAATATTTTAGAGTATTTTTACACATAGTTAAAAGTATTAAATCTGCTCATTTTTAAAGTGTTTTTAGTATTTATCAAGTGTTGTTCTGTTTCTGGGCCAATCGGTGCAGTGCAGGCTGCCACCTGTTGCAGTGCTCCCTAGGCTTGATAGTGCATCTGGAATCCCTGTTACGTCTGGCCAGATCCAGGCCCTTTGTGTTGGGCTTATTTGTGTTGGCTGGGCAGCCCTGAGGTCAGGGCCAGTTGGTGTGTGATTTTATCAAGCCTAATATGGTCTTGCTGTCAGCATCTGGATCACATGCAATTGTTCCGGAAAGTTTGAATCCAGTTAAGTTACTCAATGCACCATGTCTACTCTAGAGTGGAGAGAAGGAGCCCCTGGACCTTGGTGCCCCTATATCAAGTCTAGATGGACAGCGGGTCATCTTGGAGGAGAAGGACCCTTCCAGAGGAAAAGGTGAGTGTGGCGCAGCTGTCATATACGGATACCACGATGGCTTACACTGAGCTTTAGGGTCTCACCTGAGCCTGGAGACCCCCGACATGGCAGAGTTTAACCCTAATACTGAGTTTCTCCTATTAGGCAACAGAGGGGCTGGGACCAGTCTAGCCCCTCACAGTGTAGGAGACACCAGACTAGGAAAGCAAGGACCCTAACCCCCGAGTGGCCTTCTCAGCTGTAGGAAGGTGTAACAGCCCTTCCCACCTCCAGGACTACTCTGAGGCTCTAATGTACATAAGCTCTTCAGCTAGAAAGTGCTTTCTTCCTGGAGGGCCTAGAATCACTTGACTAAAGAGAAACAGGGACCTGGGGGGGTTCCTAGTCCCTTGTCAGGTGCCCTGGGGGCTTTCTAGTCCCTTGTCAGGTGCCCTTCCCTCTGGGCACAGAACAGAAGGTGAGGACACTGGGCTGGGCGGGCTCTGCTCAGCAAGTTGCAGCTGTGGCCTCCATGGTGGCCTGTTTTGTTCCTGTGCGCTGGGAGTCGAGTGGCTCCCAGAGCTATTTCCCACATGCCGCCTTGGCTGCAGCAATCTGGCTCTGGGGAATCTGGGGGTCCACACAGATTGAAGCTTTGCTCATGGCCAGCAGTTGGGCTCATAGGCAAGCCCCCACCCCTAAGCCCCCAGGCTCATCCTTGTCCTTCGGGAGCTCATACTTCTCTTTAGCACACTCGCACAATCTACGCACGAGGTGAGGTTATTCAAGCCAGGTGGGGTGGGCCTTATTTAAGCAGCCACCACATAGAGCAGAGGTGTGACCCAGAGGATTGTCCAGGTGGAAGACAGTAGGAAATGTGTGTCCTGGAAACCCACATACAGATGATCTGGGTAAAGAAGATCACTTTGTAAGGAGCTACTTCAAGCCACTCTGGGTGCTCCTTCCCTTTTTAGGGCTTTGGCCGAGGTGATTTCTGAGGGTTTGTTCTGGAGTAGATCACACAGGGCATAGTTAGGGTACCTTGGGCCAGGCAGAGCGAGTGCTGTGACCCTTTCCTCTGGCATTCCAATGCTCTTCTCCTCCTCCCACTATGCTAGGGGAGAGACCCTTCGTCCCGCGCCACCACCCCCACCCCCCGCAGGGCTACTGTGGACTCTAGTAACTGGGTGAGTGGACGAGTGTGGCATGGGCAGCCCAGCAGGGCAGCTGCCAGCTCTGCCTAGTGTGTTCGCCACACCTCCCTTCAGGGGCCCATGCTGTTGGACCCTATGGCACAGGCGAGCCCTGTGTTGGAGCTGTAGGTAGGTGCACTTGACGTGTTTAGAAATCACGTACAGAGCCAGAGAAGTAGGCTTTATACTGTTGGTGCCTGTGGAGTCTGCCTGAGGCACTGACATGGAGCCAAGGCCATGTTTGAGCGTATGGAATAAACTAAGACTCTTCTACTTTCTTAAGGATATTCATGCCAAGTTCTAAATGAAAGGAACTTTTCAACATCACTGCTTCAAAAAGTCCCCAGTTAAATTTACACAGAAACACCCTTGCATAGCATCCCTGCCCCAACGACAGCAGGTGAGAAGAGGGGGCCTTTTGTCCTGCACTGGGTGATGTCCTGTGTGTTAGATAAGGGGTAACCAACACCTTTGGCTCAAAGACAGTAGAAACAGATTTTACACACCCACACAGGCTTAACTGTTCAGATGAATTTGAATTCACCATAATGATAAAGCTTATCTCATTGCGTTTAGCATCCACAGATAAACAGAAAGGTGCAGCAGTCAAACAGAATACAGCTGTAAATTCCAGTTCCAGAAATCACTCTGCTACGGTAATTCCCTTCACCACCTTGCCAGTTCAGTTCCCTACTCCTCTCAGGGTTCAGTTTCTGCCTGTTCTACCACAGGGTCTGGGTCCCCTGGGTTGAGGGTGGGAGTTACAGGGCTTCTTGCGTGTCCCTGAAGCCCCTTTGTCTCATGCTGGCTCTCTGCCCAGGGTTGGGCCCCCATACCTGATTGGGGGGCTTCTGCTCCTGTCCCTCTGGTACCCAGCTCCCATTTACTTGTGAATGATCAGCTTCCAGCTTTCTTTTCTCCTATGTTGGTGGTAATTGTGCTTTAAATGCTATTCTTTTTTGTAATCTTTATTATTGCAATTGATTTTTCTGCGATGCATGTCAATTCTGTATCAATGCAATCTGTACTTCATAGAGCCTTTTATCTGTAACTGCTAAATTATGTGTTGTCATGTGTTGAAATGTAAGCAGAACTTTGGCTTTCCTTCTAATGCAGGGAGAGGAGAGAACACTAGGCAAGTCTAATTCTATTAAAATAAAAGGAGAAAATGGAAAAAATGCTAGGGATCCCCGGCTTTCAAAGAGAGAAGAATCTATTGCAAAGATTGGGAAAAAAAAATATCAGAAAATTAATTTGGACGAAGCAGAGGGTATGTGTATTTTTTAAAACTTCCACGTGTTGTAGTGAATGCACTGTCAGTTTCCAGTACGACCATGAACACCTACTCTGACATTTCTGTATCTGGGTGACAATGGGCCTTGCTGCACGGGGCCAGTCTGTGGGCTGCTGGTGTAACTTCTCAGCCTTCAGACAGAGCCGGGCCTTCCAAGGAGCTAGGGAATCATTAGCACAGTGTCTGCCCTGAGATGCCAAGGATCCCGGCAGGTGCACGGCCTGACCCTGTCATGAGCTGGCTCAGACAGAGGCGTAGTTAGTGTGAGAGGGTCATGTACCTCAGGGTCCTTACCAGGCAGACTCTAGTGCCTGGGTACAGAGGAGGCAGGCCCAGCTCAGTCTGGGAGGGCCACATGTCTGCCAACCTCTGTGGGTCATGGGAGGCCCTGAGGAAAGTTAGCCTGTGCTTCCCTGGGCTCCAGGAAGGATGACAGGTGCACCCGAAAGATAAGGAGAGATAAGGCCTTTATTAAATCTTTTTCTTCCAAAAGTTTATAACACAGAGAAGTCTTGAAAGTGGAGTCAAAACTAACAGCTGTTATTGTCATTTGAATTTTAATCCAGGGAGGACTTGCTAGTTAGCTTGGCTTGTCACAGCTTGCTGTGAAGTCCGACCTCACAGCAAAGCTGTAAAACACGCCTCTCAGCCTTTGTTGGCTACCAAGCAGAAGTAAAACACACACCCTCTTTGAAGCTTGTGCATGTCTAAGAACCATCAAAAATTGAGGTTTTAGACTCCTTATAGTTGTTTAAAAACTTAAAATATAACTTAAGTCCTAGAGAAAGCCCAGTTTAGAAACCATCTACTCTGAATGCTGAACTTGACTTACGCTTTTAAAAAATCCAACCTGTGATGGAAAAAGTCTGGAGAAAGCCCTTCACAGATAGCGGGGTACGTGGGAAGCCCCAGGGACACCTGTCCTATGTCCCAAGGTTGTGGAGCTTCAGGTGGTAGAAGGAGATCACGCATTGCCCCCTCTGCCCAGAGGTGACCACACGCACAGGCAGGTTGATGGCCTCCTTTGTACACTGTCTGTCTCAGCACCTTCTCCTCCTCCCCTTCACTAGGCTGGTTCATCTAACTCCCAACCGTGGGGCCTACAGCTGCAGCTGAGACTCCTGGCCAGTCACCCTTTCCTCATCCTAGAAGGAACCAGGGCTCAGGTGTGAAAGGGCACAAATGTTAAAGAAAATATACTACAACAGCATCCTATCAAAAGAACAATAGCACATTACTTTGTTAAGTCAAGGGTTTTTTTGTTTTGTTTTGTTTTGTTTTGTTTTCAGATCTGGCCATCACCCGGTTTAATTTTCAGGGAGGTATGCAGCTGTTACAGACTCGTGAAAACAGATCAGGCTAAAAGCCATGGTGGCTTTTGCTTTAGGTCTGTAGGCGAGAATAGAATAGGAGAAATGCCCCTGGTTGCCCCATAGCTGTTAGTTTAGGACAGGAAGACAGTCCATAACAAGAACTTTTCTAGGTAGTGAAGGTTCTAGGTAGTGAAGCTGTGGCTTGCTCTGTCTAAAATATGGTCAATATGGGTTTTCTTCCAATAGAGTTTTTTGAGCTCATTTCCAAAGCTCAGAGCAACAGAGCAGATGACCAACGTGGGTTGCTAAGAAAGGAAGACCTGGTATTGCCGGAGTTTCTTCGTTTACCTCCTGGTTCCACAGAACTCAGTCTCTCCACCCCAGTCACAGCCAAAGGCTTTAGCAAGAGAACTGCAACAAGCAATGGCAAAGAGAAGGCTACGCAGCCTGGCGATAGGCAGGAGCCAGCCCACGACTATAGCGACAGCCCGGTGTCCAGCCCAGCAACCAGCACTGGCTCGGCCCATAGCCCCTCTGGGCCTCCTGGGACAACTCCACCTGGTCAGAACAGTCCCAGTGGGCCCTTCTGTGCCCCCCTGCCCCCCACCCCCCACATGCAGGAGGGTGCTACGCAGATCTGGAAGAGGCAGTCAAGGGAAGTTGAGGCCGGGGGCATCCAGACTGTGGAGGAGGAGCATGTGGCCGACCTGACCCTGATTGGGGAGGGGGACATCAGCAGCCCCAACAGCACCTTGCTGCCGCCACCCTCCAGCCCCCAGGACACGCCCGGACCTCCGAAACCAGGTACCTCCAGATTTTGATCCTCCCTCCATCTTTGGCTCTTTCCTACTCTGCAGCCCCCATAAGTGTGGTCCACTACGTTTTCAATAAAAAGTAGCCACGGTAAGCTGGCCTTCACCATCACTTCTCTTTGATGAGACATTTCCAGTGGATGTTCTCCTCCTTGTTTGTTATATTTATTATGGGCTTGCTTTGCCCTTTCATAAAGGAGGGACTCAGTGGCAGCTGGGGCCAGAGTTTGCCAGACAGATCACAGGGGCTTGGAGCAGATATAGTAGTGCCATATGCTGCTCTTAGAAAGATGACAAGCCAGTGCAGCCTGCAGTCAGGTTCAGTTTTGAGAATTTACGTGTTCTTTTAAATCTCCAGTCACTAGCATTTCTAGTATTTTAGTCTCAAGACTGAAAAAAATAGTATTTGTCTTGAGCAGGTAATGCCCCTGTACTATTAGGAGGAGGACTTGGCTCCGTGACCCAGGGTCCACCTGCAGGGAGTACTGTTTACATGCAGGTCTGGGATTCAGGCAAACAGCCCTCCGCATGCCAGGCAAGGTGTGGCAGGGGCCCAGAAATGAAAGCTACCTCTTGGCATTCCCTGACCTCGACTATATTACAGGCAGCTTTTAAGTGGCAACATGAAGTACAGTGAGCATGAGAACAATCTGATCAGGGAGTAGGAACTTTCCCACAAGCCACAAATACTAGGAAGTGCGGTTCATGGCATCCTTAATGGCAGTGGCCAGGAGAATACTGACTGCATGTGGCTGTCCCATTGCTGGAGACGAAGAGCCTCCAGTGCACGTCCTCATGCTGGTTCAGTGTGTGGACACCTGATTATGAGCTGCTGGCGGGGCCATGAGGGTGCCCTGCTCTGCTCAGCTCCCAGTCCAGAGTGCCAGCAGCAGTTGGGGCCCTGCCATGGGGTTGGTCTTGTTGGATCTGGAGCCCAGACAGTGATGAGAGGCCAGGAAAGGCACTTTTCTGTGTATGTTGTAAATCTGTACAGATCTGGGTGCTTCAGAGGACAAGTGTGGGGCGGGGGAGGAGCGCTCCCCGCACCTTTGGACACGAGACCATGAGGCACCTCGGCATCTCCACACATCTCTGCACAGCCTTGACTCCCCCTTTCTGCTCTTCTTTGTAGATGACTGTAGTTTCTACTTGTATTCTGAGTCTGTGTTTTTCCAAGAGTAATAAACTCTAAATCTCATTACTGGACTGGCTTAAAACTCTTTTCTTTTTCATTTGAAAATTTGTTTCCACTTTATAAAACTATAGATGTATTTAAATCTTGGGGAAATATACATTTTAAGGAAATTAAATGGATTTAGCTTAATATGCTGGTTTTTAAAACTATGCCATTCTTGAACATTCTTGAGCACCTCATCTGTCTCTACCAAACACAGCTTAAAAGGGTGGCAAATGAGCATTCTAAGGAAAGCAGGCCTGAAAGCAGAGGTGGGGCACACTCTCTTGCAGGGCTCAGCCCTTGTAGGCCAGGGCTCCTCTCTGTGAGAAAGCCCAGCTGGTGTCATGCAGCCTGTCTGCCCCTGGCTCTTACCCATCCTCAAGAGCTTCCAGGACAGAAGAGTGGGGTGGAGCTGTGTCAGGAGCTCAGGTGGGCTGGCTGGGCTTGCTGTTGAGCTGTTCTTTCTCAGCTTGCACGCCTGGCCACACTGGCTCAGGGCTGCTGAGGTGGGTTCTGCATACCTCATTTGGGTGGGGGGATCTATCAACTCCCTGGGGCGGACCAGACTGTGTCATTTACCCATGAGGTGCTCAGGTTTTCCGTCTACCAAGTGCCGTCAGCATGGGCAGCAGTGCCCAGTGTGGTGCCTAGCCAAACAGCCCCTGCCGACCTGTCCCTGGTGCGCTCGTAATGAGGGGAGAGAGTGGTGGCAGTTGTGAAGGCAGCAAGTCCTCCCAGTGCCCTGGCAGCTGCTTCGTACTGCCTTGGCCAGGATTGGTTCCATGGTCCTCCTAACTCCGCAGCTCCTGGAGTGATGGGGACCCGAGCCCTCTCGGGCTGTGTGCTGGGAGGAGATGATAGCAAGAGGAGAAGGCAGAAGTAGCTTCCGCCATCAGGCTGCGACTTCCCTGCTCTGGAGAGCTGTGAGTGCTGATGCCCCACTCACTCTTT